TACTACGGAAAATCATGGCAGTGACCTAAATTCAGCATTGGATGGCCTAAAGGTGAAGGAAAAATAAGAAGCTACAAGATCTGTATGGGGTCTCGTAAATCAAAATAAAAGTGTACAGTACCAGGCAATAAATATTGCACATCGATATTTAGAAAGAGACAGTCGTCTAATTTTGTTTTTGTTGTAGGCCGTTACCTGTCTGCGACGAAAAACCAACGATCCGGTATCTATGGAGACTAAATGTCAATTAGGTAATGTGCGACAGATATAACGCTCTACGAAGCAAAAATTAACCGTCTCTTTCCCACGGTCGATGTGCAATATTTATCGCCGGGTACTGTACATAGCACATTCAGGTTGTAGCACGACTCCCCTTATTAATCTCAATATAACCCTGCAGTACTTTAATTACAATTTTCATGTTTGGGCTTTTAATTTCAAATATCAATTTAATATCTACTCTGGTTCGGTAAATAAAATAAGCCACCAACTTAACCATAATGCCACACACAAAGTTAACACAGACATCGTTTTGAGACCCACCGCATGCAGATATGAAATAAAAAATTATGTCCACAGTCTAGTATACATTTCTAACGCATAGGGGATACGGGTAATCTGTTTTGCGGTTGTAAAAAGCCGCCAATGTGTATAATTTACACTGTGGCAATGTTGCTTCGAGGAGTTCTATTGGCAGGCAAAGTTTTACGATCTTCTGTCGGTAATTGAAAATGAAGTTGGATGGGTTTATTATTCGACGTTCATAGTGCGAATTGTTGTCTTTTACAATGGCGTTTTCAATTCACAGATACGAATTGAGATTTACAAAAATATTTATTTGCTAAGATGAGCAGACGGTCAGATGGCCGTCCCATGTTAATAGAATATCGGATCCTCTGGACAACACGTTTCGGCACAATTAGGATGTCGTACAATTCATATCAATATTGTATTAGATTTGCTTATTTGAGAAACAAACACTACATCCACATAGTATGTTAAATCCCCGGTAACCGTACTCGTCGAACTCGGCAAAGAGTTGGACGTGCAATAAGCATCAGCCCATTGAGTTTCTCGCCAGATCTTCTCAGCGGGTCGCGATTCCGATCCGGTAGTAGATTCATTCGCGTAGCAGCTACTCTTAACTTGTTAGGTCTCCCTTGGAGGCGCTCGAGTAGATGTTAGCAAATTCCGCCCCTTTTGGCTGAGCCCTTTCTCGCCCACCTGTCCTGGTGAAACTGGAATGGCCTCCGGGCCACCAGTAAACTCTCAATCATAAAAAAAAGTATGTTAAAGATAGATTCAACAAAAATCAAACATCCATCATTAACGATTTAATGATATAAATAAATAAATATTATTGTTTTACAATAAGAAGAATAAACGACTTATAATTAATTTTCTGTCTGTCTGTTTTCTTGCACACTACACGTGTGTAGGCTTGAAAAAAATTATCGATATTTAAAAATTCACTGATATTACTTTTATACAATTAAACGATAGAATTGATATAGCAAATAATATTTTTAATTCAAAAGTAATTCGTTTTGGATGTTACTTTTTTTTTTCTTTTCCTACCTAAGCTGATAGCCTTGAGAGGCTATTTCAGCGGAACCTTAACTAGTAGGTGAGCTCACGGGGCTCAAACCTGACGACGTTGCTAACACGAACCCTAGCAAGAGCCGTGCTTCGCAGAATCTACCACCGGATCGGAAACGCGACCCGCTGAGAAGATCCGGCGAGAAACTCAGTGGGCTGTGTCTGAGGGTTAATTTACTCGTGGAGCCCTTCGTCGCAAGCGACGGGTTCGACGAGAACGATGACCGGTGCTTGAGGTACCTAAAAGCACCGTTAGTGGATCGGGAGGATCCGAAATGACGTGTTTGGGGCGACGTCGACTGCTTTCCATTCTTTCCGCAGGATCGGGAATGTGGATGTTACGTTTTTACGACCAAGCCACTGAAAAAACTTTGACAAAATTTCGTATTGTGTAATGTATGTATGTATGGTATGAAATAAAATTGAACCTTGGGAAATGATATAGGTTATTTTTAATCCAATTGCTGAACATAACTCTCCGCCCACGCTGTATTGTAAACCACGGCGGGAAATTGTAGGCGGATATCTAGTTTAAATACAAAATACTAAATTTTGGGGCAAAATTGGATGATTCAAACACTATCCACAAGCAAAAAAGTAGTTACTAAGGGTATAAAAATAGTAAACGTACTAACCAAACATTTGTAAAACTTTTTACTTTTGCTAATATGAAAGACATTAAATTGTTTAATGACAAAATACATTTAATGTCCTCAATAAACACTATGAAGTATCATCTCAACGAATTGCCTATATCTTTACGAATGATAGGCACTTATACATTTATTATATGTTTTACGGCATTATTGACTTCAAAACTATGACCTCTCTTCATTCTCACTGATAGCACCTTTCAACCTTTACCGTGCTTGTAGGAAATTGCGAAAAGCGATTCACCGCAGAATTAGCAACTTGCATTTCCGAGGGCGTAATTCTGTACGTGTGGAAACCAACAGCCCCGTCCATTTCTGCCGCGAATCAGTCCTTCTTAAGCGGTACACTTTAAAGGGTAGGCATCGGCTTGGCTCTGCCCCTGGCACTGCTCACGTCCATGAGCGACAGTAACCACTCACCATCAGGCGGGCCGTATGCTCGTCGGCTTATAAGGCAATAATTTTTTTTTTGCGGTTTGGACTTTGTTATAGATATAGAATTGTGACCTTGATCTCATGGTGGGGTATCGACATTGACACTGTGATGTCCATCAACTCCAATAACCACAACAAGAAGCTCACTTCACACACGTTCACTTATCTATGCAATTATAACAATTTAGCAAGAGATTCTATGTAGATTTAGTCTGATAAGATGTATTCTGCAAAGCGCTAAAATAGTATACCTATATAAAAAAATGGAATCTGTGTGCACTAAGCAGATCGAGAAAGGAGATTTAACATTAATGTTTACGTCATTATTAGTATGTACAAAAACAAGGCCAGTCTATCTCGGACAACGCATAATAAATGAGTAGTCGAGAAGAAATACCAATTGAATTCTTCCACACGCTTAACTTTTTTTCTTCACTCATCCATCGATCTCGTGCTTAAACTATCAGTGTGCTTAGCGCGAGTTTTTTAACGTTCTCGATAGCGTAAAAGTTAGCTCATATTTGTATGGAATAGGATCGTTTGGGTATCACGTTAAGACGAAGCTGAAATAGCCTCTCAAGGCTATCAGCACAGGTAGGAAAAAAAGGCAAAAAAAAAAATTGGATACGTTTGCCGCTAGGGGCGCTGATCCAACTGCATACAAAATTGGCTAACTTTTACGCTATCGAGAATGCCAAAAAACTCGCGCTAAGCACACTGATAGTTTAAACACGAGATCGATGCGTGAGCGAAGAAAAAAAAAATTAACCGTGTAGAAGAATTCAATTGGTATTTCTTCTCGACTACTCATTTATTATGCGTTGTCCGAGATAGACTGGCCTTGTTTTTGTACATACTAATAATGACGTAAACGTTAATGTTAAATCTCCTTTCTCGAATCTGCTTTTTAATTCAATGGCTACCCAAGTATGTAGCTTCGATGTGTTTGAACCCTAACAAGCCTACATAAAACTACCGTAACATAATTGCTAATGTTTATATATTTTCTGGGAATCGTCGAGTAAATACAACTTAGCCTACGACCAGGTTATAACGACCTCCGTTTTTACTGCTCGAAGCCATTACGAGATTCCATTTAACATTTTTACAGTCCCTAATTGCGGATTATAAAACTGCGAACGACTTCAGTTATTGCGGAGGTCGAGACGATACGATAAAATATTATAATCGGCAACAAAACCCCGCTTTTCGGTCGAGGAAATTAGATGCAAATGATAACGTATCATTTAATGTGAAGATTAATTAATAATTATTATTCTCTTCTTTTCTCCACCTTATCCCACTAGTTGGGGTCGGCAAAGCTGATTTTTTTCTTCCATTATCGTCTATCAGCCGTCATCTCAATACTCACTCCTTTCTCCCTAATATCGTCATTCACACACACCATCTATGTCTTCTTCGGTCAACCTCTTCCCCCTCTACCTCGCACTACCATTTCTATACATCTCCTAGTCACATGCATCTTCTCTCTACGCATCACATACCCCGCTAACCGTCCGCAAGATTAATTAATAATTATTAAGATAATGTGTCCTAAATCTTGCCTCGGATGGTATTCCGGTGGTGGGGTATATATAGAAGTTTCAAAAGAAATAGTTAAATGAGCTTTTTCCTCGAAAGGTCGAGTGCACGCCGGCCGTAAGTTATGAAAAATATGACATTTCACCAAACTTAATGTAGGTATGGTGTATTTCTATGAAAATACATAAAATAAAAAAACTCAATCACTACTCGTTCACACAAGAAATGGAAAATTGTAAAACATTAACGATCTTCGTTCGGACACTAAGCACGAGATAATATTGAACTGAACAGATACACATTCTACACGATATTACAGGTTAGCTCCTATTATAAAATATAGTAATAACAAACGGGCCCCAGTCATCGTGAACATTCTCTACGGGCCACTAAAACTTATAACGACCATCGCATCGCAAATTGTCTTATTTCATAAAGCAGCATTTTATGGTATGTTTAGACTCTAACATAAAATGAATCGATAAAAGCACAAACGGTTCAGAAGTAAAGATTGAAACACACTACTAACACGATTGAATTTGCCAGTGTACCTGGAAGAAATAATTCAAAATGGCGTATGTAAAATTTTCTTTCTAACAATAAGCGAAAACTATATTTTTGTATTTTTTTTAAATTACATTATCGATTTTTTTTTAATTCAATAGTGTTAACGTGAATTCCCAAAAATAAATTTCACATTAGTAAAACACAAATTTTACAAATGTATGTTTCACTAATGTGAACAGTATAGACTTATTATACTAAACTTACCCATAGATCCAATGTTACGACAACAAATATTTCCGTTGAAATTCGCACAGCATCGCACAGCAAGTGTCAACACACACCACGGCACTTGTAAAACTAAGTATCATTCGCAAAATAACTTCATTGACGAAGACAGTACACCACTTATATTATTAATTTCCAGCATTTTCCTACAAAAAAGAAAATAAAAAATAATATTGATATTCACACACTGGCACATCACTAGAGCGCGCGCGTGGAAATTCGAATTGTCACTTTTATATTTAAATTTCGAATTTCTCCACCTTCGTCCGGTCACTGTAAAGTGGAAATCACGACTGGTTAGTAGTGTGATGCGAACCATTCCGATTATTCGACCACTAATTTATCGATTCACTATTTTGTTGTGTGTATGTGTACGTGTAGTGTACTTTGTTAGTGGAATAGAAACTGAATTTGAAAAATATATAGAATTAAATAATCGCCGAACGAAGCTTATTTTTTTTTGCATTATTTACCATGTCAACATAAGACGCAATACAAAAATTAGTTTTGTGGGAAATTAGACTTCAAGATAAATATAAGTGTTCCGTTACAATTGTTGTTGAGTATATAACCCATTGAAACAGCTAGTTTGCTTACAGCGGACAGATCGATAACCGCTTATAGTGACTAACAAGCGGAAGAATGGAGGTAAGTGGATCAGGCCACGAAGCAAGCGATTCTTAATGTATTAATGTCTTAATTTAAATTACTTCAAATAAGTGAGTCGTCTATTATCAAAGGTGGCAATCTGTGCATTTGGACAAAAAAAAATTATTGATATGTCAATACAGATTGATTTGAATATAACCGTCTCCTTCAAAGAATACGGTTCAAAACCTGCATTAAATAAAGGTTAATACTTAACCTGTTATTTATCTAAGATGTCGTTCCAAAGAGTTTTGTGACTGCCAATGGAATACAAAGTCAATAATTCGTTTTTCTGATTTACCAATCATTGTCCAAAAGTCAGATTGCCACCTTTGATAATAGTCGACTCAAGTATTAGTTTAAGTATTTGGTACTTTTAAATATAATAGACAGACGTTAATCTTGAAATAAATACATACGTTAATTTTGGTACCATTATGAAACTGTTGTGAGATAATATGAGATGATACTAAGTAACAGTAGTTTTAGTTACAGATGTTATTTTCGATTGTGTTAGTTAAAGATGTTATTTGTAATTACTTTTTAAAATAAATCTTATCGTTTTTCGTCTAATTGAATTTTTTATTTATTGGTTAGATGGATGGACGAACTCACAGCCCAAACTGGTGTTAAGTGGTTTCCGGAGCCCGTACACATCAATGAGAATATATACATACACAAAAGAAGCGTTTTTTTTTTGTCTTTTGTTTTCACTCAATTTCCCCATTTAATTTCCATTGTAAAACCAACGTTCTACCAATTTTAAGCAATGCTAGATTGAGAAGCAGCCACTCGCTCATTTCACGGCCCGCGATAACAATGGCGTCTATTATTAATTGTTTGACAAGTAATCATTAATAACACGTCGTAGCAGGCTTTAATATAAAACGTACTAATTCATTTTGTAACAATACTTGCATCCGTGTATTTCGTAATTATTTCAGTTGATAATTAAAAAAAAATTTAATTATATATTACCGGTAGCTTGAACCTAAAGTTGGAATAGGCTTAATAAAGGACTAAGCAAATTAGTAATGTAAGCAAAACTAACAAGCAAATTTTTATAACAATAGTTTCTTTTTAAACCAGCTTGCCCTGTAGTACTTAAATAGAGTGGATATAAATGCCTTCCTTTAGATATCACAACTATAATTGGCTGTGCCATTTTATTAATATCGTCGGATTAATTTTGTCGATTTTTTTTTGTGAATTGATTTTTAACGCTGAAGAAAATAAAGGAGTGTTTATTTCTTACATTTTATGATCGGTCAAGAAGGTCAGTTACTGGATTTTAGATTTATAACAAGGATTTTACATTGCTGTCAATGACAGTAGAGGCTTGTAAGTGATTATCGAATTATAAATAAGTTCGTTCATAACAATATTTTTCAAGTTCAGTTTTATAGTTAGTAAGTCGTAGTAGTATATAGAGTGAGGTATGTTTAGATACGCATCCCCCAGTATGTTAAATTAATAGTTGAGCTAAACTATAAATGCTCTGTGTGCTTGAAGAGTTACATGATTTGTGTGTAATGTTTAATGTTGTTAGTCACTACATAGTATAAAACAAAGTCGCTTTCTCTGTCCCTATATCCCTATGTATGCTTCAATCTTTAAAACTACGCAACGGATTTTGATGCGGTTTTTTTTAATGGATAGAGTGATTGAAGAGGAAGGTTTATATGTATAATAACATCCATTAAATAGTGGAGAAATCAATAATAAATTACAGTTTCCGAAGTGAAGCGAGGGCGGGTCGCTAGTTATATTATACATATTTTTATATTAAATATTTCTAAAGTAATTTTTAAGGTCATTATTCTTTTGTCGTTTAGGTATACTAGACAGCCTCAGGAGGATAATATTTTTGGAATATAAATACATATATGTACTATATATTAATGTAAATATAATAATATTTCTTGAATACGATTTCTACTGGCCATCACTTGATGCGTTAGAAGAAGTGAAAAGAATATTAGAAGAGGAAAGAAAATTTGAAAATAATAGATACAAATTAACCCTCCAAAGGAGCGCGACGATTGTTTATATGAAAATTAGCACCATTTTATTCACAGTTCATTCGCCACCTTTTTATGGTAATGCAGTGTCAATTCTGTATGCCCTGTAGATTATGTTTTTCTTATAGAAAGGAGATGAAATGGAGAGATGGAAAATTGACTTTTCGGTCTAGACAATACAGTTGATTTTTCTTATTATTATCTAGCACTGAATGGAGAATTTGTTGTCATAGAATGCTGTCACATGAAACAGACTTTCAGACTGCAACGAAGCTTCTTTCACACCGCAACGTGAAAGCATCTTGATTTAGTGTTTTAAATATTCGATAAATTCATAATAAATGAAAATTTTGTAACATCAATTGTAATGCGTATGGTGTGAAATAATGAAAGTCTAAGTGTAAATTGGGAGGTGATACGGATTGATCGCATTCGCGAGAAGCTGAGATAGCCCCTTAGGATCCCAGCGAATAGGTAGGGAAAGAAACTGATTCTAGTAATCTGAGTTTTGTCAAATCAGTATTTCAATACATTCTGTTATCATATAATAGTTTTTTTTNTTGTAACATCAATTGTAATGCGTATGGTGTGAAATAATGAAAGTCTAAGTGTAAATTGGGAGGTGATACGGATTGATCGCATTCGCGAGAAGCTGAGATAGCCCCTTAGGATCCCAGCGAATAGGTAGGGAAAGAAACTGATTCTAGTAATCTGAGTTTTGTCAAATCAGTATTTCAATACATTCTGTTATCATATAATAGTTTTTTTTTGTTTATATTGTTAAATTGTGGTATGTGATCATTGTAGATGCAGCATTCAAAACAATACCAATGAAGCAAAAGGACAAAATGTTAATAAAATTGTGTACGCCAAATTTATTTCAATTTCTTAATTAACGATTTGTACTTAAGTAGTAGCACAACAATTTTTACACAAAAAGAATTCACCTTTCAGATCGTTTTAATTAAAGATATTATTTGTAATTACTTTTTATAATGCTGTCGTTTTCTATTACTTGAACAAGTGCCTTCCAGTTTTACGAGGATCAATGTATGTAAAAATGGTATTTTATCATCATAGATGACTTAAAGTTTGGATTCCACTGATATTATGTAATTATATAATAAATATATATTATATAATTGTTACTGTACTATTTCACGTACAAACTGCTGGAGGAATTTTGATAAAACCTACATGATTAGAGGAAGAGGTAGATCTAAGAAAAGAATGGATGGATTGCGTGAAAGACGGTATGGGTTAAAAAGGATTGAGCGAAGAAATTCTATTTGATAAAGTATGGAAGTAGAAAACATGTTGCGCTGACCCCTGGTGACTGGGAGAAAGACAGGAGAATGTTGATATCAGAATCGATCAACGTGCGATATTTGGCGCTTCACTATTACACGTGATGTTTTTCATAGAATAATAAAGGTAGAGGGAGAAGAGGTCGACCGAAGAAGACATAGATGGAGTGTGTGAATGACGATATAAGAGAGAAAGGAGTGAGTGTTGAGCTGACGGCTGATAGAAGAGAACGGCAGAAAAAAAATTGCTGTGCCAACCCCACCTAGTGGGATAAGGGGAAGAAAAAGAAGAAGAGAAATGGCGCAGCGAAGTGGGACCGTGTTTCATTTGGACTACAAAATCGAGTGACCGGGTATTAGTTGCTGTATTCGTAGTATAGGCATAGACTGTTCTGAAGGCTACATCTACTGCTTAATAAAGTCTGTTCTGTCTCAAGTGTGTATATGCGTTGGCCTTAACTGTATTTGTGTCATGTACCTGTTGTGTGTGTTTAGTATGTACGATGTCGAAAGATGACTTCTTGTTTAAATTCACTAAAAATCCTTGACGACTAGCAAAAGTATATCGAGAAATCATGTTATTTATTTGTGTAATAATTGTAGCAACGGATAATTAACAATTAAATGTTGAATTGTGATTTTAACTGCGGACAATTTAGAAGATTTAGCCTTAACTTACTACTAATATTTTGCGTGGTCATTGCATAATAAATAAAGATTCCTTAAACGGAATCTACATGTGACGTGTCTATATTGTATCATTTTAGAATAATACAGTGGCTTGACTTCTTACTATAGGAATTTTAGACAGTGTTGCAAATTAAAAAAAACACTAATAGTAATAATAATACTAATAATAATTTATGCTGACGTAGGAAGACTTTGTTTGTACAATATGAATTTAACAAGAAATCATCTGTGTCAGTCTGCAGGGTTACTGATTAATTATGTTAGTCTCGATGTGATCTGTGTCTGTGCATGTGTCTGTCGCGTGTGTTGTTTTGGAAAAACTATTATTACTATTAAAGTCCGTACTGGCGTGTCGAGTTCCTTAGTTCTAGTCCGTCGAACACGTTCAAGTTGTGCTTCCTCGCGTACTCGTCGACGATCATCTTCCCTGCGGACAAGACTCTAACATAGGAAATTCGTTTCGCTGGGCATTTTAGGATACTGCACTTCTCGGATTCGCAATTTTACAACTGGCAACACTGTTACGTATTTTAGGCATTCGAAATCGTTTGCTAGGTTATGTTTTTTTTAGGCAAAGGTTTCTTTGCGTTAATTAGTAATTTAGATTTTTGGACAATTAAATTTTTCATGCATTCGATAAAGGAAGTTGAACATTAAAATAGTGCAGTCTCCTTATTGATTTTTAGTAAAAGAAAATATCCTGTTGTTTATTTCTTACCTTCGATAGATTTTGTTTGTTACTGAAAGGAAAGACCCAAACCTGTTCGGTTAATTTGGTACTTAAAGAAAATAGTTTAATCACTTTTCATCACAATCACTTTAATCCCTGAAATACCAGATTAAGCATTCAGAATATTTTCATTACAGTGTTTTTTTTTTTCAATGAATTTTTTTACAGTGTTTCAAATGTCTTGCTTGCCAGAGAGACCAATGAGAAGAAGACAATGCCAAGAAAGACCAACAGAGGAGCGTGTAGTCCCCTTTAGATAAGTTGTTATTTCGCTATGGAGATCAATAATACTATATGCACAACCAAACACTTTACAACACAGAACTATTATATTCTCATGATCGAAAGCTTCATGTAAATTATTACATACTATTAAAAAAATAGAGATAAACTATTCTCGCAAATCGAATTCATCAATAATCTTTATGAATTTAGAGATAAAAATTTAAAGAGGTCATTGAACTCGTATTTTTTCTTTGATGTTCACAAACAAATAAGCATTCGTCTCGAATCGGAGATCGAAGTAATAATTTAAAGGCCCAATTGGGTTGTCTTTTAGAGTAACTACTGATTTTTTGAGAAACGAATATGGTACGAACACATAATTATGTACTTCAATTGACTTCCTACATTCTTCAAAAAATCAGACAATATGAGAGTACTGAATGTTATAATTGGATTTTAATTGGAATAGACGCTATTTCAGAAAAATCTTCAGTGAACGAATTTCGGTATCATTGAATCCACGCAGGGTTTATGTAACATTTTTTTTCAAATTTAACAACCTTTTATTAATGGATAATAAATGAAACTAGAACGCTCAACAGCTGATTGATAAAGTTTGGTTAAACAATAAGGACTATTTAAATTCGGACTGATCTGTCATATATACACAATAACACTGTAAAAAAATTCAAACAAATTCTATATGATTAATATATTGACCGTTGTTTAGCTTTTACTAGTTTATGCTGATAGAGTACTGATTTCGATAGTGGGAACATTCCATAAATATTTCCAATACAAAAATATTTCCTTTGCAAATTCGATGAGCTGAAATAAACACCTGGAACAATAGTCAAGTGTAAAGATATGCGAGCTCAGGTGATTTTGTTTTATTGGAACGAAGTTCCTTATCGCGCGTTGTGAAAGGGGGCTAGACGGAAAAAATTCTTACGAAAATTTGTCACGACACTTTTTAGATCCGTCATTCTGACCAATCAACGTGTAGGCGCTTATCGCGTGACATTGCTCGTATCCGATTGGTCCGCGTAATGAGTACAGTTTTTCGAGATAGCGTTTCAACAATAGTAATTTAGTTCATAGTATTGTTTTTTTCTTCTTCATAATGCCGTAATTTATTAATATAAAAAAAATTACAATTCCTTCACTAATTAATCGAAAGGAACTTCGTTCCATCCGGGTGTCCCTTGACACCTCTGAAGTTTTTTTGTAATGTCAGATTGATTTAATCAGGAAAATCAACTAAGACGCTTTTTTTATTCATACATTACTTCGGTTGTATTCTTTAATTTAGTAACGAATGACTTCAATTGTGTAAGTACAAACTAAATAACGTTCAATATGATTTGTTCAAACTATCGCTTTGCAATTATGCTATATAGGGAACATGTAAACTTTTCCACAATTTTCTATTCCTAACATTTCATTGACACGTCATATACAATTGGACGAGAAACATTTTTTCTTTCTTTTTTTTTATTTTTTTTTATTGCTTAGATGGATGGATAATACTAGTTAATACTTTTTAATACTAGTGTGAAACTGACTGGTACTGTTCATGTAGAAAAACAAATACAATAACCACGAACTCATCGCGGGCTTAAAGAACGTGCTATAGTCGAGAAAAACTAAGCATATTTCATGGCAATAACAATAATGTTATCCAGGTATTCTTCGACGTTATAAAACTTAACATAATATCTATCATACTTATTGGTGTTTGTAACAGACGGACGCGCGGTTTGAAACTTTCGCTATCACATTCATTTGTATCTCGGATACTAAGCAAAACTAATTTTAAAAAAAACGTAACGCAAAACATGTCGCACCCAGTGTCGCACTAGTAATCCGACATTTAACGCTAATAGCTTCGACGACATACTACATACATGTACAATGACAAATTAGTGTTTTATTAACTTCATTGTAGGTGACATTTATGCTTATTGTCACTTGTCTAATAGAAAATTGTGGATTAGTGAATACACATCGCAAGCGCTTGCTCAGCACAAACTACAATAACGTAGAAAACGGACATCATCGTGCATAATAAACTAATAAAAATTCATAATTTTCTTCTTTTTCGAACGAATTATTACCAAATAACAGTATTAAAAAAAATAGGCAATTAATCAATTTTTTCTGCACAGACTTTCTGTATTTTCGTTTCGAACAAGATAAACTAATTATTTCACGCAATCAAAATATGTATATAGAAAAATTGACATTTGACAATTTGTAAACATACATGTTCAAAATAGTGGTCATAAATTTATAGCAAACTAGTTGACCCGGCAGACTTCGTAGTGCCTCAATCGATAAATAAAAGACGTAAACTTTTGTATAAAATAAACTTAAAAGAAACAAAAGGAATCCGCCTGACGGGGGACACATCAAAGGAAAAACAAAATTGTTATTCTTATTTAATTCCGAGCATTTTCTAATTTATCTACCTTTTAAACCTTCTCTGGACTTCCACAAATAATTCAAGAACAAAATTAGCCAAATCGTTCCAGCCGTTCTCGAGTTTTAGCGAGACTAACGGACAGCAATTCATTTTTATATATAGCACAAATAAGTTTTATTAAATGTTACATGTATTGGTGCATTATAAAAACGTATTAAGTACTAGAGAAATAAACTCACGAACAATGTCCGTTTTCTAATCAACGCTACACTCGTATTTACACATTCGGTACCTTCGTAGATTTTCCTTGAAGCCTCATCCAAGTCGCTGCGGGCGTAGTTCATGATGACGAGCACAAGCGGCATCATCTCCCACGAGTAATGGAACTTCTCGAGGAGTCTGTGACAGTTCTCCACAAGCGTCTCCGAGGGGACGGCTGTAACAATAAATCAATACATTTTAATTACAATACTGGCGCAAGATAATCCAGGACAAAGTTATTAAAGGTTTTTTTTTAATGATTGTTGGATTTCTGGATGGCCCGGAGGCCTTTCTAGTTTCACAGGGTTAGGTGGGCGAGCAAAGGCTCCGCCAGGAGGGGTGGGATTTATTTTCTAACAGCTGCCCGAGCGCCTCCAAAGGAGACCTAACAACTCAAGAGTAGCTGCTTCGCGAATTAATCTACTACCGTATCAGAATCGCGACCCGCTGAGAAGATCCGGCGAGAAACACAGCGGGCTGATGTTTAGGTTAGGTTGCACGTCGGACTCTTTGCCGAGCTTGACTAGTACGGTAGTTATTAAATGAGGCCACAACCCTCAGCATTGAGTATTATCAAAGCAAGGAGTTTGGCAAACATTTTTGACCATACCTTTAATTAAGATAATATATTCCCTAAACGTAGCTTCCCTAAACGTATAATTGCATTGCAATATAATAATTGAACGAGTAAAATTAATTTCTCAGTCGTTTCTTTGTATGTGTAGTGGACTGTAGGGTTAGGATGGGCAAAGAACTTGATAAATAAACTCGCGAGGATTTAACGTATAAAATTTTTATTTTTGGAAATTTTATAATTCGCGTACAATAGCACGGAAAAAAGAGAATGATAAATCTAAGACATTCCAAAATTCAAAATTCAGAAGTAATGTAAAAAACCACAACCACAACAATAAAAAAGGTTTTATACCAATTTGTTGGGTTGCCAACAGTATTTGTATATAAAATGGGCGTCAAGGATCCTTGAATTAATTTATTTGAGAATATAGCATCTATATCTGTTAAATGGTATATTTGTTCCTAAAAATATGGAACTTCAATCAATTTCAAAGATATTTTTATTTTGTGATTCTTACAAACACAAATACATGACATGATATGTGAGAAATAATGTGTGTTTTTAAGACACAGAGCTTCGCGGGGCATACTCTTGTATAAATTTGTCTCGAGAAATTTATAACAAGCTCACCGTCTTCATTTTCGCTGGAACAATCTAACCCACGTACACATACTCAGTTCATTCAACAATAAATTCTAATGTATATACAGTAAAGTAGTAATTGCCGAAGTTCTGTCACCACGTGCCTCTGACTTCCTCATAGTACGTGCCAGGGCAGTTAGCATGAAATAATGTTGATACTTTATCACGTTTCGCTATAAACTCCAGAGCTTTTGTCGAACAACCCGGTAGCGAAATATCAAATACTCGGGTGTGATAATTTTTATGTTATTACAAAATGATTTATTCAATGTTCATTTGGTGTTTCTATCACTCTAGATCTTATTTGATTCTCTGTTTCTACTACAATTAATCTCTAAAACAAGTAACCTAAATAATACGTGTATAAATTTTAAGTCGTCGTGGCCTAAAGGATAAGACGTCCGGCGCATTCGTATCTATTTAGCGATGCAACGGCGGTCGAATCCCGCTGGCAAGTGCCAATTTTTGTAATGAAATACGAACTTAACAAATGTTCACGATTGAATTCCACGATGAAGGAATAACATCGTGTAGTAAAAATCAATATAATTTGCGTTATTACTGGTGGTAGGACTTCTTGTGAGTCCGCACGGGTAGGTACCATCACCCTGCCCATTTCTGCCGTGAAGCAGTAATGCGTATATGTCAAGGGGGGAGACGGCATTTACGTTTTAGATATCTATGGGCTCCGGTAACCACTTAACAGCTGTTGGGTCGTAAACTCGTCCACCAACCTAAGAAATAAAAAATAAAATAAAAACAATAATTGTAAATGGTTGTTTCTTTAAAATACTGAATATTTCGACTTAAAGCGAAACGTCAGACTGTCTTGTAAGCCCTATGTCTATAGTCCCCGTCTTTTTAGCGCAAGCTTCTCGTACATAGTTGCAGAATCTGATAAAGCATTCCTAAAGGTCGAGTTCGGAGCGATGCATCCATCGAGATAAGAAATATTAGTATAACGGTAACCGCCGCGTAGGCTTCATACTTTTGTGCAATTTTAACTGCACAACAAAAACTGCGCTTGTAGACCTCAGTCTATCAGAGATTTTATACTCATATAAGATCTTAATAAATAATAGTTTAAAAAAACTAACAAAATACGATTTTATAGAAATACCAACTAAAAAATATAAAATAAATTTTAATAAATTTGTATTAAAAATAGTCTAAGAAAAAATGATTTTATTGCAAAAAAGCGTAGGGCGCTTTTCAGGATATTACCAAATTAACCCTTCTACTCATATCTGTTCATAAAATATTTATAACTAGTGATACCTTGCACCCCACGCTTTTTTTACAATAAAATCATTTTTTCTTGCACTATTTTTAATTCAAATTTATTAAAATTTATTTTCTATTTTTTAGTTGGATTTTCTATAAAAGCGTATTTTGTTAGTTTTTTTAAACTTTTATTTATTTTTCATTATTAGTTGAATTTCCTTTTTTTTCATTATTATTATCTTTTTTTTTTTAAATATTGATTTTTTATCGGTCCTTTAAAGTATATCAAATTTCGAGTTAATCCGACGAACGGGGTCAAAATCATGTTCAAAGATTCCGTTACAAACATACATACGTCTGAAGCTAATAAAAGCGTATTAAAAAGGCAAAACATGGGTTGCTCCGTAATCCTTATCACTAACCGTGTTGCTGCATATGAAAGAGCAGACTTTATAAAACTAAATTCAATTAAGAATAACCCCCTCAAAGAATCAACCAGGTCAGGTAACGCATCCGTAGAAGACTCTAGAAAGCTTTTCCGTTATCCATGAATTGGGGGCAATCAAATAAATCCGATTGTAGAGAAGGGCTCGGGTCGTTTGAATAAGATACATGTCTGTTGTTATGGGTGACCAAATTCAGACAGAGCATCGCAGTGCGCAAAGACTTTAGTCGTAAAATTGCTTATACATATTTCATAGTTAGCTTTTCAGTAGGCCGTGTGACATGTATTTTCAATGAAATAACTAATATTCGCAAGTTATATCAATGGCTTTGTTGTGCACAGAGAAAACTGACAAATAATTAAAAAAGAAAGAAAGTCTCTATTAATGCGAGCTTGATCATGAAAGAGTTTTCTTTCGACAAAACCAAGGACAGAATAAGTTCAAGAATGGTAAAGTTTTAAATATAGGTTTTTACATTACACCTAAGATAAGATATAGGGTACAAGTAAACGTATGATACATAAATAAATCTCTACAAATCTAAATAAATAGGTTTTAATATATTTTCAGTGACTTACAGGCCTTAAGAGACGGACAAATTTAATTGTAATCGCGATACCTAACTCTTTTTTTTATTCTTTTTTTTTAAGTTATCTCTTTTGTACACGTCTATTGACTATTGACTATTCGATTATTATTTTTCTAGAGTTGCGATACGCTGTCTACGGATATTCCGTGATTATTTTAGATCGTATATTTACTTAAACGTGCCAAGTGCTCGGTGCTATTGTTTACTAAACATTCAGTTCGCAGTTCGCGTGTGATTTTCCGGCACCTATTAGTCCTCGTAAAACATTAAGTATCCTTTGTTTGCGGAGACAAAGTAAATAGGCGTGTCTAAAATCTACAACCACCTCTGAGCGAACAATCGATTTACGGCTTTGGACAGCTCGACCGTGTTAAAATGGCCGTTCGGAGGGGAAACGACGACCTTAGTTATGTGTTATTCAATGTTAGACGCTTTCGAAGTTGAATAAGTAATTGTAGATTGTGTAGGTGCGGTGTTTCGGTTTTAATGAACCGGTGAAAGAATAGCGTCGCTAGGACTTATCACACAGTATCACTTCTGAAACATTGGTATTGGTATTGGTATCATTTCCGTAGGCAGCGGCTTGGCTCTGCCCCTGGCATTGCTGAAGTCCATGGGCGACGGTAACCACTCACCATCAGGTGGGCCGTGTGATCGTCTGCTTACAGTGGGCAGTAAAAAAAAAAGAATATATCACAAAATTATTTTTCTTATTATAAAAATCAGCAGCGGTTACCCGAGTGCATTAACATTTAAGCCCACTGAGTTTCTCGCCGGATCTTCTCAATGAGTCGCGATTCCGATCCGGTGGTATATTCGGCGAAGCACTGCTTTTGCTAGGGCTAGTGCAAGCAAATTCTCTCAGGTTGAGCCCCTGAGCTCACCTACCGGTCCGGGCGTAGCTAGAATAGCCCCTTAGGACACCAGCAAATAGATAGGGGAAAAAAACTAATACTTCTGTTTACAGTCAAAGTCTCAATTGCTTTAAAACAAAACGTGTGATGTACGAATCAGGATCGATAATATTTGTTATTACTACATCGGGATTAATAAATACTTATTAGTAGTTGTAACTTGGGGTGACTAAGGTCGCATGTTATTAAGTAATCGAATTATGTATGTATATTGAACGAAAGCGAACGGTTTAAGTAAGGAAACAAACGGAGACAAACACTCGGTCTTTTGGCCACAAAACAGAAGTCTCTGTATCATTCCACGCAGAGATTATTAAAAACTAATTATACCATAAAATATTTTATATTATAAACTAGCTAACCCGGCAGACTTCGTAGTGCCTCAATCGAGTAATAAAAGACGTAAGCTTTTGTATAAAATAAACTTAAAACAAAGAAAAGGAATCCGTCCGACGGGGGACACATCATAAAAAAAAACAAAATTATTAGTTTTATTTAATTCCGAGCATTTTCATATTTACGTACCTTTTAAACCTTCTGGACTTCCACAAATAATTCAAGACCAAAATTAGTCAAATCGGTACAGCCGTTCTCGAGTTTTAGCGAGACTAACGAACAGCAATTTATTTTTATATTATATAGATTTTGTTTATGTTAATATTAGGTACTTTCATATAATACCGCTTTATGAAATTCAAACAATATATCGGCGATACCTACTACAACACAATATACCTATTGAAAATCTATCAACAGTTATCATCTCTCGTAATACAAACAAAG